CTTGGAGAAAATGGGACAATTTCACATCCGGGAAGTCCAATCACCAGGGGGAAATTTGTTACTCGTATAGCAAAGTGATATGGCGTGTTAACCCAAGGCATGATTGCAACACTGACATGTGTTTGGGCAAAAAATACCACCATTAGATTTTTGGAAAACATGCATGTAGTGGAGATGGTGAGAGGTGTTTATGTTATTCTGGTGGATGACCAGTAGTGCCCATTGAGCAAGTGGAGGAGCCAAGGCAAAGGGATCGATGAAATGTGAGAGGACGAGGAGAGCGGGGCCAACCACAACAATTTCAAGACATACCAGTTGGGGGTGTACCTACCGACCCGTTTCAAAGTAGTGTTGGATATTACTTGGATAACATTCATGGGGCCATTCATTATCAAAACCATGCGATTGACGATGTTTATACTCACTTTGATATCGAACGCCTGCCACTTTTGCCACCACAGACTCCCTATATTCCAAGTTAGGAGGAGATAGGGGCATCACGCAATTTAGGGGCCGGGTCGAGTGGAGCTCGAGACGATGATGATTAGTGATTTTATCCCTTTTATTTTCATGTTTATGTTTGGTGTGTTTTGTTTGTTTTAAGACTTCTTTTTATTTGTTTGGTTTGGTGTGTTTTTATTTTATTTAGGAGTGTAATTGAATGATTGTGATGTTTTCTAAATTTATATAGGAAGTTTTTTATTTTATTTTATTATAATTTTTTATATATTTTTATTTTTGGTTGTGTAGGATAGAAGGTGAGTTTTTAAGTGATAATATAAAGTTGTGCGAGCGAAGCGTATAATCGAGATCCACAACTTGGCATAAGTGTGGGGTGTGTGTCGAAAGTTTTCGGAGAATTCTAAAGATTGAGAGGATTAGACTTGTGAATGAAATGATCTAAAAACCAACCTAACAAGTATACTTAGATAGACGTTGTTTTCGTTGAGCGTCCAGTGCCCACGACGTGGCATCACTAAGCCACGACGTGACGTTCTTTTCGTGATCATGATGATTTCATACTCGACTCCATGATGTGGCGTTGCTTTCCCACGTCGTGGTTAGGCTAAAGTGCATTATTTGAAGTTTTGCTACACCACATTTTCGAGGGCATGGTTCTTGGTTTCATTTATCTGACACATTTATGAGCTGTTGAAGATCCAATTTCCAAATATTATCAACATTTTCAAGATTTTCCACACACTTTCGAGAATTCGATCCCACCATTACTATCCCAAGGGAGTCTGTTCCAATTTATCATTTTTACTTTTAATTTCTTTAATTGTTTATGCATGCATTGGGGACATTATCAATTAAGTGTGGGGGCAGAGGGTTGAATAGAGGAATGCAAAGCTTACTCAAGAAAAAAATATAAAAAATGATGAAAAAATGTCGAGGATTAAATTTTTTTTATTAGAAAAACTTGAAATAATGGTCTAATATTGATCTAGTTAAAAATTTTTGTATTTTTGTGTTGAGACCTAGGTTGCTAGTATTGTGTGAGCGATCTGATGAGAGTTTCGATGTTTATTTGAGCCAATATATGTTCTAGTGCATTTGTGGCTTCCCTATCCTAGTGAAATCATGAAACAAAAACACGATCTTGTTTAGTTTGAGGGACATAATACGTTTAGCATCGTGTACCAAAAATGTATTCATGAAAGCTTATGTAGCCATTGAATCTTAGACTAATACATCTAATCATTAAATGCTTAAGTTAAGTTCCCTTGCTTAAGCATATATTTTTATTTTTAGGATTTTTAGTTTTGAGTTAAAAATGAGAAGAAAATAAAAAAAAGAAAAAAAAAAGTTTCAAAAAGTTTGAGAGAATAAGAGTCTACAAAGAAGATCAACAAAATATCATGAAGAAAAGTTCAAGAAATCCAAAAATCGAAGAGTCAAGAATAAGGTAAATTTTCAAGTTATTATTTATTATATTTTTTTCTTTCTAGGTTATATTTCCATATGTATGCTTGGGGGCTTAACCAAAAATTACCTTGAGGTTAAGAAAGATTTTTAAGGATATATTCGGAGGGATGCATAAAATGAGTGTTGTTCAAAAGAAGTTGGAAAGTGTTTATGAGGATTGTGAGTATTTAGGATTGAGAAGGTTTTTAGGAAAATTAGACACAAATACATGTGTTTCGGTCTTGATGTAATGAAGAATCTCAAAATGGATTGACTTGTGCGATGTTGGTAGCCAGAGTTTTAATGAGATGGTGTGATAATAAAAATCAGTTCTGATTAAGGGCAATCGAAACACAAGTGTGGAGTATTTTGATATTGCAATATTTATACATACCTTTACGCATTATTTTAATTCGTTTAATCTATAATTTGTAAAACTCAAAGATATTTGATACTTATTGAGTTAAATTATATTTTACAGCAAAAAAGGACATTCTTGAAGGAAATGGACCAAGAATGACAAAAGTTGGAAATTTGGAGGTCAAAGCTAGCATCAGCATTGAAAAAGAGAAGAGTCATGCGGAATTGCATGCCCACGACATGGAAATCTAAAGGCCACGACGTGACCATCTGTCATAACCTAGAAGATTCCAGTGACTTGCTGTATACGGGATTTAAAAGATGCCTATGGCGTGGCACCTATTCCCACGTCGTGGCGATCAATTTTAGCAAACTATATATATATACACACACACACACACACACACATATATATATATATATATATATATATATATATATATAGGGCTAAGTTATAATGTGGATGGATAACTATTGTGCGGACGTTTGGACAATGCTATTATATGAGAATTACTAAGAGAATAAATTGTTTGTTAATTTGAATACATTCAACCTTACACAACTATCGTCATTTTAATGCATTCTCAATAATTCTTATTTATTTTTTTTCTCAAACATCGTTTTTTACTCATTTTCATTCTTACAGAATACGACTTAATAAACATTCTGACAACATTCTAATAGAATGAGAATAAAAAAAATATATATATAATAACCTTATAGACGATTTAATTAGTGATAATGCGTGATAATGACAATAGTTTAGTACGATTTACGTATTCACATTACAAAAAAAACATATTTTCTTTGTCATTCTCACAGAATAGCACTGTCCACACGTCCGCACAATAAATGTCAATCCACATTTGAACCTAACTCTATGTGTGTGTGTGTGTGTATATATATATATATATATATATATATATATATATATAGATATATATATATATATATATATATATATATATATATATATATATATATCGACATTAGGTCGAATTTGAGAGGTTGGATTGAGGAATAAGCTAAGATTTACAACTGAAAACCATTACAAAACCCCCAGAAGTGAAGATTCTCATTTGCACTCAAGCTTTAAAGAGAATTAAAGGAAGATCATCATTGAATTATTCGGTTTGCTAGATTTTACCATGTCTTTTCTAGTTAACTTTGATTTATTGTTTTTTTCTGTATTAGTTATGGGATAATCACCCCATAATTTTTTTGGTGAAAATGAACCCGAATCTTATGTGTTGATTTTGATTTATAATTTTTTATGTTGATTTTACTTGTGGTTGATAATCAAAATCCTAGCATGTTAAAATTCTAATTTATCACTACTAGAAAAAAGACCTTTAACGACGTGCTTTTTATGACACGCGCTGATTAACGATACGCAATAGGACGTGCCCTTAAAATAGTGTTATCTCTTCAAAAATTTAAGGATTTACGTCACGCATTATTGCGTGCCCTTAATTTAGTGTCTCAAGAAAAAAAATTAGAAACACGGAGGGCGCTTTATCTTAAACGCGCGTCGTCTGTACATGTCGCTTTATAATTTTAATGAAACGCGCTTTTAGTTAATGAAGGGGGAAACGAAATCCCCAAAATTTTGAAAACCCGCCTTGTTTTTTCTATCTTCTATCTATTTTTCATCCTTGCAATCCCCTCTCCCCTCTATGATACTCTCTCCTCTAGATCTCCCTTCATTCTCTACCTCCCGTCTCTCTGTAAACCTCGAAGGTGAATCGTAATTGATCTGCGAGGTCTCCTTCTTTTCTTTGTTTTCTCAGGTACAACATCATCCTAATCCATTAACCCCTTTCATTTTTCATTAAAAAAACCCTAATTGACTTGGCAAGTTCATGAACCAGATGTAGCACATTCCAAACTGGGGATATAACCAAACCCGATAGAGCCATTGATGGAATCTTCGGATCCGGTCAACAAGGACTCTCTGTAATCAAACAACTTTCTTCACAAGGGATCGCTCCAGGTCTTCAATCTATCAATCTACAATGTCCACTATCAAGTTACATCGAATCAAGGTCTAGGGTTTTAAATGCTTCAAGTTCTTCCCAAATAATTTCCCCTCTCAAGACGATTTTCCTCGATCGTATCTTTATGGCGATGATTCTCTCTCGATCGGATCGAAGACCGCTCACTCTCTCCTTAGATCTCCATGTGAGTCTGATCCCCCCTCTCTGTAACAGCCTCGCTTCCTTCCAAAAATCGAAGACCATTCTCTCTCGATCGTCTCTTTATGGCGAAATTTAGACACAATAATCTCAACATAAAATTCGTAACTGAACTCCTCTTCACCTCTACCCTACTCCATCTACAACGACTCCTTAAATTTACAAACCCTAGTCCAGTTGCGCTTCTAGTCAAATCAGGTACCTATCTATCTGCTTTCTGAATTCTCCTGGATTGGAAATTTCTTGATACTTCACTAGCTTTTAAACAAACAAAAATCAGTTTTTCTCTCAATAATTCGTTGGATTTTTCATTGGTGTTCCCCTTACTGGTTTCGATAACCTCTCTAATCTGTGAGGTTTGTGTTTACTTTCTTGCCCTCCCTCTCTCTAAGAAGAAAACGCAGCCTCATCGCCTTCAATCACCCAACGACATAGGTGGAACTCAAACTTCTCAGACCAAAAGAAATATTGTACGAAAGAAAAGCTATCCATTAATGGAAGAAGTGCAGGGGGTTGCTTATTGGTGCTGTTGTGAACATGAGACCTGATTTATTTAAGGCTACTATAGCTGGAGTACCATTTGTAGATGTTGTGACTACAATGCTTGGTCCAACTATTCCTCTTACAACTGCAGAATGGGAGGTGATTTATATATAATATTTTTTTGTTTTGGAAACTCAAAGCAGGATGCTATGATAATATTAGTATGTTTCTTTCTAAATGTGAATGACTTGCTCTATTGCAGGAATGGGGTGATCCTCGGAAAGAAGAGTTCTACTTTTACATGAAATCATATTCACCAGTTGATAATGTGAGTGCCAATGTATCTTGTTTTAGTTTAACTGACATAAATCCATCTGACAGATCATCAAATGAAAATGTTGAAGTTAATTACTGATGGGTGTCTATTTTGAATAGGTAAAAGCTTAGAATTATCCAGCCATAGTTGTTACTACTGGAATAATGGTAGGTTGTCAAGAGTGATATTCAGGATGTGATTGATAAAGATGGTGAGGGGTTCCCTATGGTCACAAAAAAAGCTGGAAATGCAGGGACTGCTACTGTGAAGGGGTACGGTACAGGTGATATTCATCCCCATGTTTCTGGAAGCAAAGGTAGTAATTGGAATGGAGGGAATAACAAAAGAGGAAGCTATAATAGTGTTAATAAGGGTAATAAAGGTTGGAATAACAGAAGTCATAGGGGAATTGGAATAGGGGAGTATTAGCCATTAGAATCATCAAAAGAAACACGAGTTTGTTGCTGCAAATAATAAATCTTTCATTGTAGATAAGCAGGGGCATAATGGGAAAGAGAGTGTGGATTCTAGGAAAAAAGAGGAAAAAGTGGAGAAGGGAAAGGATTTTAAGGGTAGCCAAATTATAAATCTTTCATTGTAGATAAGCAGGGGCAGTCTTCTCCTGATTCTATGGAAAAGGTTGTCACATAATCAACTTTGTGATTGTATATTGATGATTATAGATTGGTGGCTTTGAGAATCTAACAATAACTTTAACTTTTTTTCTTGCAGATATCAGCAGAATCCTGTCCTACTTCTGATCTGTTGGTCAATAATTCTGACAGTGGTCAAACTGAGGCTATAGAATCTAAGTGTGATACCAGTGTGAATTCCAATCTTGGGAACCATGATTGTTTAAATCCTATGAATGACATCCTTGATACCATGTAAGTTTGAAAATTTAATCATTGCAACTTACTAAGTATCAAAATAAGAAGGTTGGATGTTTTACTTTGTGATGTTTTTTTATTTATTGTTTTAGATGATTTGATTTCAAAGGTGATCAAGGTTCTTCTAGAAGAGATTGAGACACTAAAAAAATGAAACCGGGATGCTGTGTTGGTGAGCCAATATCTTTTTGAGGTTAGAGAAGTCAAGAAACAAGGGAGAAAAGAGAGAGCTTCTTTGAATAGGTGGGGGCAGATATTACTTCATAAATTATTGTTTTTCTATATATATATATATATATATATATATATATATATATATATATATTAATTACCAAGTTTGACTTGTCAACACGTGTAGAATGCAAATGATCCCACAAATACATTGTAGGTGAGGGTATAAAATGTTTAATTACCTTTTTACCCTTGAGGCTCGGGTTTAAATATTTACACAATGTTTTTACAGCTGTGAGAGGTTATGGTTTATCCTACCCGTCATCTTCAGCGGTCCGCCTCCGGTTTTTACTGAATACACCTAGCATGCTGAATCTTAACCAAGAATCATTCTTTTTTACTTCACAGACATCTGAACATTTCTATTTGTTATCAGAATTGTTACTTTGCTCTAAGAAATAATTGTCATAAACGGATTACTCTACCATACACAGGGGACAAATACCTGCTTCATAAACAAAGCACAAAATGGATCACAATTATGACAATGGCGCCTCCAAGGCTGGAAAAGGGTGCCGGGGTGTTAGATAAGCCAGTAATAGAGAAAACAACTCCTGGAAGAGAGTCTGAGTTTGACTTGAGGTATTGTATCACTTTCAATGAAGTTTGAAATGCATATAGTAAAAGATTAGGTCGATTTACCTTTTTTTTTGTTTTGTTTTTTTAGGAAATCAAGGAAAATGGCACCACCATATAGAGTGATGCTACACAATGACAACTACAACAAGAAGGAATATGTTGTGCAAGTGTTGATGAAGGTTATACCTGGAATGACAGTTGACAATGCAGTTAATATCATGCTCTTGACCTAGACACCACTCTAATAGGGCTTTTCCAAAAAAAATTGACCATCTTGAAAATATTCCAAAACCACAGGGTGGAAATATCTCTACAATTACATGTGATTTATCAGTAAGTATAATCTTTAATTTTAATCCATTCAAATATGTGACATGTTTTTGTTTTATTTATTTATATATATACTCATGTATATAATGTATAAAAAAATTACATAAACAGGAATTATGTAAAGATTGGTTATCAATTTTAATGATTGTTACTTCTGCACGATCTTCAATTAACATAAGACATTTGGAGAAAGCAACAGTGTCTACTGGAAAAGAAGGCTTGTTATCTGAAGGGAATGGTCTACTGGAAATGAAGGCTTGTAACATTTTTGGTTCTTGTTCCCAACTTTACTTGGAACAGGGGCCGAAAGTGTAACTTACTCTAAATTTTATATGTAAATTTTATTTTATATTTTGAAGGGAAATTTACTGAATATTGATTGGTTGATGCAGTTAACTAGAATTGGCCGAGATGCCGTTTTATATGTTGAGTCGTTCGTTGAGTCAATCATGGGAGGATTTGAAGAGCTAATCAACATTCTTGGTTCTGAAGGAGGTTTTGGCTCTTTGGAGACACATGTTCTTACTATTTTATCAATTTCCTTAAAAAGTTACCAAATTCATGTATTAAATTTGATAAAGCTAACTTAATTGCTTTTTTTAAATCCTAGCATCTACCAGAAGTCAGCTGAAACTACAAATGGTTTTTGATGGGTAGGAAAGATATATGAAGGTATGATCTATATTGTAATTCAGATTCTATAACTTTTATCATGTAATCTCTTAAGTCTTAATACCCATTATTCCTTATGCATGTAGAGATCTTGGGAGCCAAGTGATAAAGCTGATCTTCACTTTGTCTACAAAGATGTTGAAGGAGTATCAACTCAATGGGATGATATTCAAAGAAAACTCAGGAACTTACCTCCTAAACCCTCTGCCTTCAAACCCGATCCCTTCACTCCTGCAGAAGATGAAGATTCCAAACCTAAAACCAAATCTCGGATCGATAAAAAGACAGAAGAACTCAAAGATTTAGAAGATGATCTTGATGATAGTTGTTTCCTCAAAGAATACAAGTACCTTCAACTCCCTTAATCCTAATATCATTTTATGAGGGTATTAAATTTCATGTGATATTTTCATGGTTTCATTTTCTTTTGTGTTCTTGAAGCAGAAAGAGGTTAGCAGAGATGAAGCAAACAGTGGAAGTTTGAACTCGGAATGTTCGGGCATCATCTATGGTGGCCCGGGCAGCATCTATTTCAATATTGATTGTGTGAAAGTCATCTACTAAAGCAAGGTTGGTGTAAGAGTTGATGATGAGAACATTGTTCCAAGACCTTCAGTGAGTTATGATGATGTCCCTTAATAACAATGTAGTATTAGGTTATATAGTTACCGATGATTACTTGTATTTGACATTTGATGCAATGAATTATCTTACTTATTTATGGTATTTTATTTTGTATCTTGTATGACATTAATTTTTGTGCAATGGATTGTATTTTTTGTATATGGTGTTTTATTTCTATTATGAGAAATTAAATGCAAATTTAATTTAAAAATTAATAAATATATAAATTTATTTTTTTAAACACTTAAATTTACGATACGCAAAAATGTGTGTCATCTTCATTTATGACATGGCCTTTCTTGACAGGGGCTTTCTTGATACGCATTGCGTGTCATTAACACGCGCGTCGTAAGGTTACGACACGCGAACGCGTGTCGTCTTCCTTTATGACAGGGCCTTCCTTGATACGCATTGCGTGTCGTAAACGCGCGTCGTAAATGAGCATCGTAAAAGCGCGTTGTCTATAGACGACGCGCCAAAGCGCGTCGTCTCTCTTTATGACAGGGCCTTCCTTGACGCGCATTTGTGCGTCGTCTGAGCCTTTTACGACGTGCAATGAGCGTCGTAAAAGGCTGTTTTTCTAGTAGTGTATATTGCTTATTAATCAAGTTTTGTATGATAGATGGTCATTCTAGTTGCATAAATTTGTTACCTAATTGTTTATGATCAATAAATAATTAGAGCTAGTGACTAATCATATCCTAGGGTTAAGTAATTGAAAGCTAATAACTTTAACTGTGTTGAGAGCATAATTAATCATAATTTATGCTTAGTTTCTTGACTTGATCTTAGGAAATTAACTATTAGATTTATTATTCACGGTCCAATTCGTGTTATATTGATTTTGTTTTTAACTTGTGCTTGATTATTGTGTGGTAAATTATAAATTGATACAATTAGGTATTTGATCATGATAACTAGTAAATTAATGAATTGCTGATTACTATAATCCGTCCACTAGAAATCAACCATAGGAGAGGGGAAATCAGAACTATATGGAAGTACTTTTTAATCTTGAAGTAAAAATCGTTTCTTTGCTTGTTAAGTTAACTAAGTGATAGTAATTTGAATTAAGTTCTGTTGATCTTGGAAAATCAGTAAAACCCTCAATTTAAAGTTTGTCATTTTAGTTTAATTAGAAGTAGTTATTTTAATTAATTAAATTTCGTTCCTTTTGATCGACACCCGACTTACCCAAACTATTCTATAATTTGACTAGGTACTCTGCTTGTAGGTGTATAAGTAGTTAAATAGTTAGGTTTATAAATTTAAAAGTTGATTGATATATTTTTGCACATACGGTAAAAATAAGCTTTTTAATTGAATTCGTGATGAAAAAACGAGCCCTAAACAATGATCATTTGTGTTAGTGTTTAGCAGGTTGAAGAAGAATATGAAGTGGGTTCCTAGGGGACATAGGTAATGACTTTGGTGACCTCATTAATTGATTGCAGGTTGAAGAAGAAGAATATGAAGTGGGTTCCTAGGGGACATAGGTAATGACTTTGGTGACCTCATTAATTGATTGTCAGGAAAGAGTGCGAAAAAATAACAATTTTGTCCTCATATGGAGGGTACGTTTCAGGCACTAACGGATGAAATTAACCCCATCAAGGAAAAGGACCACATGTAGAAACTTTAGGCTCGAAAAATGACATCTGGTGGAAAAAAATCATCAAAAAGGACTTGCGGTGTGATTTTTAGAAAATCAAAATGACCATTTATGTAATCGTTATCTTATTGTTATTCAAAAGGCGTGGTTCGCATGTTCATCCTCCCTTCGAATTTCATGTTGGGGTTTCCTCCAAACCCTAACTAATATGCCGCTCTCTTTCTCTCACACATCTATCTCTTCATCCTCTTCAACAATGGAGTTTTGGGGTAATGATATGGTCAAATCTCTAGTCAAAGATCTGGTCCACTAGTTGCTATTTCTCGACAAAACTAGTCACGATTGGCAAACTAACTTCTATTTAATTTCCAATGGATGTTGTATTCGACTGGTTAATGATGTGAAAATATATTTCAGACTTCTAGGAACTGTACTAAGGGGGTTATAAGTAGATGTTATACTCTTCGTATTCGTACATCTTCTTCTAGTGATGATTCCACTACGACAACATGATCCGATCAACATACTTCCCATATCGAAAAGTCATCTACAAGGCTTGTTCCTGAAAGGATTTTTAAGAAAATGGTTTAAAAAGTTCGTTGCTGCAAACTTGGATGTTGACAATCCCGTTACTTAATACAACTATACGAATCTCAATTGCCCACGTTGTTTTGATAATCAACGATATGAGTTAACCTTTAATATCAACAATATAACTTAACCTTTAATGTCTAACCATCCATTCATATGTTGTCAAGCACCTCCTCTCGTATCCATGCCACTTATTCTAGCTTTCTTAATAGTCAATAAAACGGATGGACACATGCTCACCGTTTTAATTTTTAAATATTTCATTGTATTTTTAACTAATATTATTATTGTAAATTTAAGTATTGTAATTTGATTTTATAACAATATTCTCATTTATATTATCAAAATATTTCTTTTGGTATGCAAACAATTCACAATTTGTGATTAAACATATATTTGTTCTAGATTCTTTTCAATTGAACGAACATATGCCCGATAAATAGATTTTGTTATTTCTGTTTTCCTTCTATTAGGTTTCTACTACTTAATCATCTTTATCTTCCTATATTTTTTTTAACTCATTGCGAATTTACAAATGATGGTATTATAAATATACTTATGCTTCTGTCGAATCTCGAATGTTGAATGTAAATGTCAATGCTGAATATGGAATGTTAAATGTTGAATGTTGAGTCGTAGGTGTCTCCTGAAATATATGTTTATTGAGTGATGCCATTCTTTTTGACAATCTTATAATATCACTATCTTCATTTATTCGTGTGGTTCGCTCATATTAAGACTAATGTAATGGTCACGAATAGTCAGTAGACCGCGAATCTTTAGATATTTCCCTTAGAACAAGATTTATGTATATGTTGCAAATGGAAGATGGTTGATTAAATTCTTGCGAATAATAGAGAGTATCACAAGAATTTAACGGAAATAAATAATATTGTGATTGCCATTGATGTGTATGCCTACCGGTTTCATTTTATAGAAATTTTATAGAAAAAACAAATTTGTGACGTGGATGGCTTTTTTAACGGACTTGGTGGTTGTTTTAATTTCTTTGGTAAAAAAATGGCCATATCAAAATATATAAATTTAATATATAGGAATTTTTGTGAATAACTCTTTTACAAATCATCCTACTAGTTAATTATCTTATATTCCTTCGGTTCCAATATTATTGTCAAGAGACAAAAAACACACAGATTAAAAAAAATCATTAATTATCATTAACTTTATATAATAAAATGATAGTTTTATCTTATTTTGCATTTAATGTTTCATTAAATGCTTAGTTGGTTAAGTAATAATGAAAGGGTATTTTGGTAAAAATGTTATTTATTTTAAAAAGTAGATTTTAATTTTGGGATAAATCAAAAAGGAAATATGAACTATAATTTTGGGACAGAAGTATATTCTTAAAGTCTATCACTAGTGTTAGGATTGCCAAAAAAAAATCCTTATTAAAATATGACCAAACGCATGTAGATTTCTATGATTCTACAAACAGAACCACAAAAATGTCCATGTTTTGAGGGTTATCACGAGCTTCAAACAAAACAATTCTATATATACCAACTCAAACCCTCTCATCGATTCATCTCAAAAAACACAAGCAAGAATCGAGGCACTAAACATTTTTTTTATATATTCAAATTAATTCTATTTAAATTTTAGTTTGAATTCTTATCTGGTAGGATAAAAGATGTCATCTACGAAAATTGTTGGGGTGCTTCTCTTGTGCCTAGTCATGATCTTGCATTTGCACGTAAACAACGCCCAAGACACCACCCCAGCCCCAGGGGCTCAAGATGCCGCCCCGGAGGTCCAAGACGGTGATAAATGTTATACTGATTGTGAGAAATCTTGCATAGATGAAGGAAATGCTCGTTCTTTTTGCATGTTGAAGTGCGAGAAAGAATGTCGCAAAGGACACATAGGTATACCTATGTATTTCATTTGTTTATAATTATTATGGTTGATTATTTGTTTCATTTCAATTTTTTTTTTTTTTTTACTGATTTACTATTATATTCTTTAATGTTTGCAGCTAGACGTTTTAGCAGATGATTCATTAAAACCTAGACGTGTTCAAGAATCAAGAACCGTGTATACTTGTGTATATATTATTTGTTAATTTTGGAGGAAGCTTGTATTATTGTCTTTTTTCATTCTTCCAACCGTAAATATAATTTATGATCTTATAAATAAAATTATTTCTTATTGCTTCCAGTTTCTTCTTTCACGATTATCTTGTTGTTACATACATTTTTTTTTCTCATGCCCTTCATTTGAAAATCTAGTTATTTGTTTGTTACTCAAATAAATTTTTTTCTTAATGTTAACAACTTGTTTTGGCAAATACAAATGTAAATCTGTCACTTCAATATCATTAATGGTCAACGATCTCTTAGCTAGGTGGTTTAGTGGTAAAATTAGTGTTTGGCATCCAACGGAATTACACCAAGTTTTGTTATCAGCTCTTTGATGACCACCTGCCTTGAGGAAGGTTTGTATGGTATCGCATGAACCGGAAGTTTTCTCTAAGTCAATAAAATTTACCCTTGTTACCCATAACAAATGATCATAAAAGGGAAAAAGGGATCGAACAGTGGTTAAAAAGCTAATGACTCAACAAACAATTTTCAAACAAACCAGTGGTGTGTATGAGACGGTTTAGTTCGGTTATTAGTCAAAACCGAACCATAACCATTACAATTGGTTAATGTATTTCAATAACCATTAGGTGGTGGTTGATATTGGTTTTGGATAACGGTTTTAGTCGGTTAATAGTTAATATCGGTTAACCATAATGGTTCAAGATAACATAAAAATAAATATTTTATTATATTAAAAATATCTATTAATATTATTAGTTCGGTTCGGTTAATAATGGTTCGGTTTTATATGAAAAACCATAACCGGACCATATGTATTCGGTTAATCAAAATTAGAAACCACACCATATCTTTTAGTAATTGTTCGGTTAAAAAGGTTTAATTATATTGGTTAATTTGGTTCTGGTTCGATTTTTCGGTTAATATGAGCCCCTATTTCAAACCCAATCCCACACATCCCATAAGTGGCACAAAAATAAACTTCATGATGAATTGCTTTGCAATTTCAAAATCGATTTTACCAACCTAGAAATCGACCGGGGTTTACCAATACATGGATTTTGCACTTGAATATCATAATGCATAAACTATAAAAGCGTTATTCTTATTAAATGAATGAATGTAATAAGTCATTACTTATTATTATTATTATTATATATATATATATATATATATATATATATATATATATATTAAAGTTGTGATATATTTCAACTTGTTAACAGTTATTTGTTGTGATTGGACCAACTTTCTTGATTTGTGAGTCTCATACGTGTCACCCGCCCGTAAAAAAAAAAAAAAAAAAAAAAAACATTCGTGTCACCACCCACCGCCTCATCCGTTTAACAAACATACCAGTTGATCTAGATTCATCGGCGAGCCCTTCGTTTTCGTGACAGATTGATTTGGAGATGGACGAAAAGCAGATCAATAACGAGGACGACAAACCCTAAAGTCGTCGTACTTTTGAGTTCCGGTTTGTTGAACCCACCGCCGATCCATCTTACTTTAACCCTCGACTGATTGATTCGGTCTCTAGAATCTCGCATTTTTCCATTATCTATCGATTCCTCTCCATGTAACCCTTCCCACCTCCTCTTTCACAATACTTTCTTCCCAAGCGTGCCACTCAATCACACCCTCCGCCAACAGCACTGATTGTAAGTTCTCTTCTTTTACCATCTTATTTTCTGAATCTACTCCAGTTGGATCTCCCTCTTCCAATCAGGCACCGGAAGATGCCTTTTTCGTGTTCCATGTTGAAAGGAATAGACCAAGGGGTTTTCCATTTTTGATTTGGGCTTCCACCTTCTCTTTAAGGTTCCTCACAAGTTCTGCTCAAAACTTTGTGTACATCGAGGTTCGTATATTGTGATTAATTTGGGTTTTTTTTTTTTTTGTTAACATCGATTTCTTATAGCTGGTCAGTAACCTTCTTTACTTCACCATATTTAACTTTGCTTTTTTTACAAAGAAAAATGTAAATTTAGATGCATATGACGTGTTTGATAAAATATCTGAACGAAAAAAATTTAATTGAATTTCAGAATTGGAAGATTAAGCTAGAAATCTATATAGTTTTAGATGCCAGTTATAAAGGATCTCTACTCTCAATCATTTTTTTTATTTCACGTTTTCATTTGACAACAAAGAACACCGATGGCAACAGTCTTTGGATTGTTGGACATTTTTATCTGATGAATGGCTTCTCTTTTGTTGAAATAACGGTCCAGGCTTTTGGGTATGTGATTCAACAATCTTTTTAGTTATATGAAAATCACACTCACCTGAAATATTTTCTTTCAACTATATAGACGCGACAATAGATTTTTCCCATGTGTATCCATCCAACCTTTGCAGTCTCTGTAGGAGTGCTCTTCAAAAGAAAGGTTGCAACTGCTGTTGTGGTATATATAATTCATATTCATAGCCTATTTCACTTCTTTAATTTAGTCGCTGAAATATATGAAATATCTTTTAAAATTATTATTGAGCTTCTTTACAGTTTTGTTGGTTGGTAGACTTTGTTGGGGATGCCATTTGTTGGAATACACAAACACATTTTTTGCGCTTTCTGGTATGAACTAAATCTTAGTGTTTGTCCTTCCAGAACATTGAGGCAAAAATTCCAGATGGTAAATAATTAAATAACAATCACTTCATTTTGTTAAATACAATAACTTTATCCATAAATATTGACAATTTTGAATTTTCTCTGAACCAGGAATTGAGTCATTTACCACAACAAGATCAGAAAAGAAACAACGAGGTGAAATCCATTTTTACTTGAAGGGTATTTTGGCATTTGTGTTACAGTTATCCACTTCTGATGCTATCTAGTCAATGTTACTAGCTATCTCTTCAGCCATTTCTTTGCTGACAAATAAGAAAACAAGGGACCTCATTATGATTCTCAACTCGAAAAGGTTCGTACTTTACATAAATTTTATTTAAAAGTATACATAATTTTGAGTTTTAACCATTGATCAATTTTCAGATTTGTTGAAATATTTGTTAATACGCTTGAACAAAAAAAACATCATGAAGCAAAATTGAAAGAGGGGTTAAAAGATTTAGCTATCAAACACATGGAACTTCAAAATTCATTGTCCTTAGTTTGGCCTAAGCAAGTGAGTTTAAAGAATTTTTTTTACCTCTGTATATTATTATGAATTACGAATTATGAAATGTGTTTTGATAAGATATGGTATATGTGTGTGTGTGTTTAACCGTAGGAAGCAACGGTTGCAAAAACTAGGGATTTGAAGAAGGTTTGTTTGATGGAAGGCCTATAAAGATTATTGGAGAGATCAACAACATGTTGAGTATTGTGGGTGCCTGAAATGATATAATATGTCTCGTCATGTTCTTAAAACAGTTAAAGACTTAAGACACATAGTTTTTACTTTTTACAGGTAATTTTATTTACTTTGACTAGAATTTGAATTTTGAATCATAATTAGTTACTGTATTTATATTAGAAAATCAAGTCTAATTGATTGGTGCTACAGAGCTTGGTCGACGACTAAAGGTATTAATTTTCACTTTTCACCTTAAAAATTGTTGGAATTTTTTACCAATTTTAATACAAGTTGTAGACAATGAACCTATTGATCACCAATATCTTTTCCCTCATGTCCAGGGATGAAGCATGCCATGTTGGGTATGTAATATGTAATATTTATGCTCATTTGATTACTCGCACAGGTAGGTAACAACTCATGCTTTCTATGTATTTTAGTTATTTGTTGACATCACTTGAAGTAATTTACTTTTTGAAAAACTTATTTTTCTTTTATAGAAGCATAAGCGGGACTGGGAAGAAGAGAAGTAGGTGATTGTAACTTTTTGTAGATATAATGTTGACTTACTTCCAAATTGGACCTGAGAGTGTTGATAACAAGTTCTTGGGCGTTAGAGAGATTAGCCTCTTGGGAGATGATCATATTTGCATAGCATGCCTCTTCGTTCCTTTTAATCAATTTTATAGAACACCCTTTTCGTTTTTCTGTCAATTAAACAATACCCATTTGCTGATTTTTATTAATTCCTCACTAAATAATTGAATTTGAAGGCAAAGTACATATGGAAAGAGAAAAAACCAGAAGATTTTCTAGCAACGTAAGTTAAGATGGATAAAATCCTATCTGGGTAGTTGGTAGGGATGCATTTTTTGCTTTTGAAAAATTTCTTCGATTATTGGAAAGGAATTTTTGAAATTGAATTAGGTTGTTGTGATTGCAGATAACAGTGGTTCCATGGCGGCGATTCGTGCCGCTTGTAAAGGCTCTAACTATGTTGTTCATGTTTGATATTACCTGTCAGATTACATCACATTATATGTTAATAATTAAATTATTTATTATTATTGGTGGTTTTTTTAAAAGGAAACTGTTAATTGAATTATGATTCTTTGAGTTTCAGTGTAGTTAATTGGTATCAGGAAGCTAGAAAACATAATCAGGTAAATGGATGTTACTTTTTATTTCAATTTGAAACTCTTTGAAAATTGACTACCAATTTTTTTGTATGATGATTCCGGCGAAATTGATAGGTTGCAGATGGGTAATCTATTAATGTTTAGTGTATATGAGCAAACATTAAATCAGTAGCTACAAATTCAGCCAACAATTCCGACTGACCATGTCTAAATTCGTTCGTAAGGTATTCTTAATTATAACTATTTTTTTTTTAATTTTTTTAATTTGTGCTTCCAGTAAAGGTTTTGTAATAAAATAAAAAATAACATCTCATTGTATGCAAATTATCAAATCTGGACGACTTTTCCCTTAGTGATGTTTTTCCCATGACATGAAATTGTTGCCCGAGTTTGTATTGTTGCTCACCGGCTTTAATAAGATTTTTCAGAATTGTGTATATAGGTTGGTTTTGGTTGAAATTATTCGGGAGGAGTCCATGAGTTGATCTTCTGAAAATTAAACGCCAGCAAAAGCTTACGTTTTGGATCAATGTTTATAGCGTTTTTCTCGCAAATTACACAGAATAGCAACATACTTTAATGTCGATACCAACTTATGCAATGTACTTCTTAAGTTATTATATTTTTATGCGGCAATAAGCACGAACGATTTTATACTGAAAGATTTATAAAATAAAGAAATTAGAGAATTAGAAGAGATATGTAATGTGGGTTTTGCATTGAAACGGTATTTTTTTTATTAAAGCAATTAAAATATTGTTCGGCTACTCAGTATTCAAATACACTATTTGTTAAATTTTCAAAAGGCTCTTTGAAGGCATAATCAACTTGATGTCGGTTGTTGGTTTTGTATATTTGATTCCAGGCCTACTCAAATGTCTATAAAGGGTGTATTAGATCCTTTCTTGAAGTTGTTATGTTACTGCATGGTTACCAAATTGTTTGTGGAAGTTAATTTATTGTTCAGGTAAACAAAGCTCCTGATCGAATGTCTTACATGTTTGAATTTCTAATTTATATTATTAAATTGATTTAGTAATTGTAGTCAAGAACTCTATGTTCCAAAGAAGAAAAAAAAATCGTATATACACTAATTTAAGGATTAGAAGAGTTTAATGTTTGTAAAAACATTATCTTCAACATGATGACTTTAAAGTAATTGTTACTGATCTAAAAAACTCATAGAAGAACAAATGTTGATTTATTTACCACTTTGTTGACTTATTATGGTGTATTTGAACATTTTCACTCGACTTTTTATTAAAACAGGGAACAGTAGACACATTAAAGAAGCAGCTATATGGTTCAACATCTTTTTTTTTTTTTTTTTTTTTTCTTTGACTAGAATATTGGTAATTCATTATTTTTCCGATTTGTAGTCATTTTTGTCTTTTTTGGTCTCTCTACTTATGTTGGTTATTTGTGGCATTATAAGTTCCTATGTTTTCGTTTAATTGTTATTTTATTAGTTTTGATTACAGATTCATTGATGTTTTTTTATTTCTTATTTATTTATTTATTTATAGATCAGTTAAAGAGGGAAGGAATGAACAACTCAAATTATAAACATTTTCAAAGAACAAACAACGGAAAAAATTATCGCATCCGACCCCCGCAACGCAAGGGTTCCCCATCTAGTTATTATTATTATTATTATTATTATTATTTTGTTCCATAAAAGCCATATTTTAGAAGAAAAAAATATTGCATTTCTTATCCCTTCGTTGGTTACCAGTACCACTTGGATTAACTTACTTGAATAATGACATGTCAGTTAGTCTGACATGACATGCTAATTAGGTTTGCCATCTCATCAACAACATGCAATATCATAAGGTAAAAAAGTAAGAGAAAATAACACAAAACGGTAATTCAAAACCTCAATCTTTGTGAAGGAGAGGCATGTTCAACTAAGCCAAATCCTTGTTTTTGATTTAACCGGTCGTGCTTCTAATTATATTCTAGTTGCAACTAAAAAAAAGGATAAAAAGATTTCATTTCTTAGCCTTTTCCAGTTACCACCTTATTGACTTACTTGGATGTTGAGGTGTATGTTTGGTTGACAAGATATGCTAACTAGGTTATCAATGCCATTAATTGCATGCCACGTCATCGTGTAAAAAAATCCAAGAAAGAAGAGTAGAGTGGTGACCTCTATAGGGGAGAAGCGTATTTTTAACTCAACCAAATGGTTGCTTGTTGATTTATCCGATTGCATTCGATATTAAATATTATATGTAAGCATAAAAGTATGAAGCTTAAGACTCGAACCAAATACCTCCAACTCAGAATAGGCAGAGGCGTAAATCGTGTTTGTTGATTTATCCTATTACATCCGCATTTAAATATTATATGTAGGTAAAAAAAGTATGAAACTTAAGACTCAAACCAAATACCTCCAACTCAAAATGGGTAGAGCCGTAAATTGTGTTTGTTGATTTATGTACCTATAGCAAATTGAGGCTATACGCATTTAAGATATAATGAATATAATAAAAATCTTTGAATATGATAATCTATAGTTGTGTCTGCTACAGACTATATAATATAAGTTTCGTATTAAGAAAACTAGAAAAAATCAACCGAATCGTTCGTAAATCGAAAAAATAAGTGCGCACACACACACACACACACACACACACACATATATATATATATATATATATATAATACACGTCGTCCTGATCTCGAACATATAAATTTCGTGGAAATCGGACTCCGTATGAATTAGATATGATTTTCATTAGATATAAAAGTCAGTCACACGTAAAAAGCTATAAGGAGAATGATTGACTTTTAGCTAAAGTTACTTAAAGGAAATCATAGTACTTTTTATCTTCCGTTAGCGGAATTTTTCATACAACAATAGCTATCACGGCAGCATCAATCGACCTCATTGTAATACTGTAAATTTTCAAACAAAATTTTCATTTTAAAATCATATAAATTTCATCAACACAACTCACAAAAAATCCCCAAAATATCAAATTATCAAAACACTTGTTCAGAATTGTTGGAATAAAATCTAGGATCCTCAAAACATAACTCTATCTCATGTGTACAATCAAGTCAGCACCTTCCTGTGATCCTAAGAAGTACCTGAAACACATAACACATAACACGGTAAGCACGATGCTTACTGAGTCTCCCAAAATACCACACATAACTCATTAGCCTCTCATGTCTATATCTCGAATAAGACCCTCCGGTCAATGTGTCTCAGTGGAACCCTCCGGTCCCACAACTCGGGTGGACCCACCAGTCCTAACTCAGTAAGCTCATAATAATACACAGCATAAATCACAAAGACATAATGCAAGATATCACAATACTCAATAAAACATACAAGACCCTCCGGTCACACAAAATTACCACTCAAAATAAGTATAGTGAGAATATTCACCTTGTAAGCAAGTAAATAAACCTCGTACACGAATCATCGATCCAACCTTTGCCTAACACATGATAATTATCTCTATTTAACACTTCAATCACAACTCTAAATAAACTAAGCTATTTTCTCTCTCTAACTATTGGAATGGGTAAAAGACCATTTTACCCCTCCATGGTCCCCATAATCCCTGTCTTAACCAAACCCTAAAGTCAACACTCGATTCAACAATCCATGTTAACCCGACTCGTCTAGTGCATCTATGTAACTCATTGAGTCCCTCATTACTTCAGAAATATCACGAAAATCCAACTTAACTCATCGAGTTGTCTCATTAACTCACCGAGTTACTCATGTCCAGACTCGTCGGGAAAAACCCTGGCCGACTCGTCGAGTCAGCTCACCGACTCAGCGAGTCCCTTCAATCTATGTTCTCATTCAGACATTTTAAGGTAGAGTTATAA